CAGCTCTGAGCAGGTCCTCACTTGTAAATCGACAGCGGAGCTATCCCAAGTTTATATCAGCTGAGGATGTGATATAAACTCCATGCTATGTTTGCAGTTGCATCCAAATTGCTGTGGCTGGATTGACTCTTGGGTTAAGCCATGAAGAGGACATGCTCATGAGTTACTGGTCATGGTAACCCACCCTCTAGACTAGGAAGGTAAGGGGAAGAAATATATTAATTCTTAAGTAAGCTCCTAAAATGATGTGCAGTCAAAGTGCTTGATCTGGCCACACAGATACCCACCAGCCGGACCTTGCAGAATGGATTATGCCCCACGCTGATGTGTGCTTAGCTTTCTTCCGCAAAGCAAAATGCTGTCAGTAACATATGGCAAGGTCTTTCACAAATGCCCTCTTGGCATTACAGCAGGGCATCCAGTCACTTTGAACCAGAATCCCACTGTCACTCCAGCAAACAGAGCAAGAGCTGGGCCAGGAATTTGCCAGTCAGAAATGGAAAGTAAAGTCCACTTTCCTCTCTCCAGGAGTGCGTGAGAATTTGGTGCATCTAGGAAAAAGGGGCAATGTTCTGCTGGATGCCAGCAGCTGCCTGGCATCCCAAGTAGGGGCAACATATATATTGCAAATGCAGTATGCAAATAAAGGCTGCTCTATATGGTAGTAGCTGAGAGAAGTGTGTAGTCTTCCACACAGTCTTTTGCAGGATAGAAAGGCATGGTTTAGCAGGAACAGGTCCTCCCCCAACCAAGCTGTTATCCTACCTGCTTGAGCATGGGCAATAGCCCTGACTGTTTTTGCAGGGGAGGTCTGTCCTGCGTTTCCCAGGGTCTCTCCAACTCCTCTGGTTTGTCACAGAGCTCCTCTGCTTCATTTCAGTGTCTGGCTCATGGCCACGGTCTGCACAGTTCCTGCCTGTTTCCAAATTGCCTCTCAGATGGGACTTGAACTCCCACGGACATCGGACATCTGCATTAAAAGGGGTAAAGCTGGATAGGACTGATTGGGAACACACAAGACACTGCCTCTCAGCTCATGACACTCATGTGGAACAGGCCTGCGGTTTTGCCATGGAAAGCCACCTGCAACTGTGACCTCTCTGTGTATGTAGCCATTATCCGTGACATGTTTGTTCAAGGTAAGTATTTCCACCTTGAGAAGCAGCAAGCGAGTGCACAGAAGAGTGGATCCCTGCTGCTCTGGACCCTGGCAAGAGGAAGCAGCATAGCTGGAAGTGTTACGGTATCTGAATGGTATCATGCTGAAAGCACTACAGACTGAAGCCCCTAATTGTCTCCAGGGTGGGTAAAACACAGCCTCTGAGTATCGTGCTCCCTATACGGCCCTACAGCATCTGGACCCATGTATTTCTTAACTTCTTCTAAGCATCTGCTAGCCAGCAGGCCAGTAAATGCCAAGTGTGGGGTGGTCTGGGGGAAATGCACACTGGAAAATAGATGGAAAGTATCAGCTAGAAGTGCACCCATTACAATGGTCCCTGATGCTCCATACAGTGTGTGAGCGTGCATCCACTTTCTACCCACCGGGTGTGTCTACACAAGACACTTACTGCGCATTAGCCTAGTAACACCGCATAGTAGTGAGTCACAGCACAAACCGTGCTAATAGCCTACTGCACGGTGTTATTAGGCCAATGCACAGTAAGCATCACTAAATAACCATGCACAGGACCTCTAGGTACTGCGCACTTAGTTAGTACTTTATTAAGGAAGTACCACACTAAAAATGTGCATTATCCAAGGTGCATTAATGAACGTGTAGATGCGCCCACTGGAGATGACATTGCACTTAACCCAGCATGGCTGCATGGGAGAGTCCCCCTCCCCAAGCCAATGTGGGATTGATTGACTCAAGAGTCTGCAGAGTTAATATGACAAAGTTAATATGCTCCAGTGTGAGGGAAGGAGTCAACCCTCTGGGAGGTGGGATGTCTTTCTACACACTCCCCTGTGTATATGAATGAGTAAGTAGACTTTTCCCCCTCTTTGCTGGATGTGGCACACCTTGTCTCCAAAACTGCTGCTTTGTTTGTGAGCAAAGGGCACACTGGCGCTTACTGCCATGCTAATTCCCCGCAGGCTCAGCTCGCGTCGAGCAAACCTTCCCGACACCACTCTTGTCACATGGCCAGCCGCTTGACACCACCATGCAACCTGGTGCAAGTTGATTAATTTACCTGCACAATATATATTATTTCCTGAATTATCAGTATGACACATGCATAGATCAACTTTCCCTTATCCATCCGTGAGACAAATGGACTAATTAGTACACACTTCTCCCTTCCTCTCTGCCACCAGTTGATTAGCTGGAAGTTCCTCTCTAGTGGCATAATTAGAAAACCAGTTGAAGTCCAAAGTAAGTTTGCATGTGACAGTAATAAATAATCACCTCACAGAAGGAAGGATGGCACAAGGCTTAGTTGGGATTTGCAAAATTCTCTGAAGACGTCCAGAGCTACGCAATGCTCTTCCAAGTCCATTAGTAAGTGCTGCAATGTGTCTACGTCTAGGGAGTAACAACTCAATCCAGCTATGGGCTCTGCACTTGAGTTGGGAAGATAGAAGCAAATAGCTGAGCTTTCAAGGACTAGAGATGGGTCCATCCAGAGGACGCTGGGTATATTGGTTGATCGTGAGATGACCAGGAACTGCTTTTCCCTATTATGCCCAATATTAGTATACCAAATACTGTGGAAAACCACGAAACCTAGCTATAATAAATGAGTATATAAAATAAGGATGATGCTATTCATCTTAATAAAG